AACAAGAGGGAAATGAGGAAAGAGGAGCTTAGTGGATTAGAAATTTTGATCATAGAAGGGAAGTTGTATCACTTTCAAAAATAGGGAAACATAGGAGAAGCATGTTTAGAAGTGAAGATAAAGAGCTTAGTTTGGGAAACATTAAATTCGAGTTGCTGGGAGCAGATCCAAGTGGAAAGGTCCAAGAGGTCACAATGTCCTAGTAATGTGTAACTGGTTCCCAAAGCAAGCTCAAACAGTATTAATACCTGGGTATTTTTTAGTTCTCATACTTTACAAAGTGTGCTTGGTGACTACCCTATTTACAATATGTATGATCCCCCAGCCCCACTCCAGACAAATTTGTATGGTTAAGGATATTAATGCAAATCTTCTGAATTGAAAGCAGACTTGCAGATTTTGCTTTTCTACTATGTTAAATTCAATGGTCTTAAGCAACCATTTTGAATTCTTTTGAGCAGTTAGAAATCAGAAATACAGTGACTTTCTCTATAGTTTCACATCAACTGGTAATAAAATGGAGTAGTGAGGGATTTACAATACATATCAAAGGAAACTAAGACAGTTTTTCCATTCACATCTGCAATACTTTTTGAGTTCAAAATTCAGCTACAAATACAGGGGTGTACAAAAGTAGGTTTGCATTTGAATGGGGAAAGTTTATTCTTGTATTATTAACTATTATATTATTTCCCATACAAACAACTATAAACCTACTTTTGCCCACCTCTGCAGTTATTGCAATTCATCTGGTTACATAAATTCTTTTTAGCAACAGGTCTAACAAAGGTATGCCTGTTAAATCCGTGCTGGGAAGACAACAGTGGAAAGACAATGCTACCCAAAAGAAAACAGTACGAAAATATGTCTTTTCATATTTTCCAATGGTATAAATTTGCTGAATGTTATAATGGGACACTGTTTAGACATTTTGGACAGAACAAGAGAGCCACTTGCCAGAATGTTTGGGCAACTGAAGGCTTTCAGTTGAGATAAAAAATAATTGTAATAACTGTCAACTTTCATTCAGAATCAGATTTCAACCATCTCTAGGGGGAATTAATGACTTCCTACCTAAAGTAAGTAATTTAGATTATTGAAGGCTTACTCAAGTAAAAGACTGAACAGTCCTAAGTTGCAAAACAATAACCAAAAACATAAACTCTCCCAAATTGATCTTGACAATTAAAATATGAAAATAAAAATAGAAACATTTCTCTATTACCATTTTACTCAAAAGATGTCAATTTCAATTTTTTTTAACCTTTAAAGAAACTTTCACTCATCTGACAATAAAAATTAGGAGGCTCTTGAGAGTTCATTTTCATTTTTATTATACACCATAGGCATGAGGACCAACCAGAGTAAGATGATTAACTGTACTTTTAAAATCACAGGAAATATATTTCCAACTCTTCCCCTTTTTTTCTGACATTGGAGTGGCATGTCGGATAATTTGGGATTAATTTAGGGCAAAGTAAGACACCATGGAGGGCAGTACATACATGACATAATTGTGAAGCTATTTCTGGAAACCAGTGTAACTTGCTAATTGTTATTGAGAACAGGCTGCACAGTATCCACAAAGCTATTAAGAGTTCTCACTAAACATCAATAGGTTCTGTGACTTTCAATAAAAAGATGTATAGCAAAAGCAATTTCACCATAGGCTAATGGATATAAACAAGAGTCAAGTTCCTAAGGCATCTCATCAATATTGTAACAAAATGACATTAGTCATGTCCTTGACGTGCTCAGCTACTTATCTTCTGAACATCTATTGTTCTGAATATCAAGAAAGTAAAAAACAGTCATCCCATTCTTGTTTTTAGCTTCCCATGCTCCAGTAATTTCTCACAGGATTTGAAGAGCGTAAATCCTTGCTTATTGTATATTGTTTTGTACACCCAAGAAATGTCTGCTCTTGTGCTGTGTGCTCTAACAATCATGGCTGCTTTGGCATTGATGGCGTATGGGTGACTAAGGTTCTTACAAATACTTGACCTGATTACCTTTGCTTTATATGCTCAGCAGGTGAGTCTCTGGATAGTATGCTATTGTATTCCTGGGCCAATAGATTTGTTCAACCTTGTTTGTACATTCACCAAGGAAGGATTTTATTTTGTTGTTTTTTGTTAGGCAGGAGGGAACACATATTGAACTTCAATTTTGAGGTAGGTAATAGAAAGTGAGAAAAATATAGACCCTCTAGGATCTAACCTCTGCTCACCTTTCTAAGCTTGTCTAACTGATCCACAAGTAGCATAAGCTAGGTACTTATGGTCAATATATCACTGGTGCCATTGCATACTGCTCTTAAATTCAGCTTAGGCATTGGATCTTTGGAAGTTCACATCCCTCACTGCGTTGTCACCCTTACTTTCTTGTAGAAACCTGGCATTCTCTCAATAATAAATGCTCTTTCACCCATTACTACTTTATGACTACTGGAGGGAAGAAATTGTGTTCTTGTCTATCTTCAGTGATAATATATGCTTCTTGAGAGAATACTGAAATATGAATATTCTATTTACAAGACCTAGTTCTTTTCACAAAACCAAGCAGAGATCTGTACATTTGTGATTTTGTAAAGTTGGAGAAATTAGTTCATTCAAACTTGTTTTGTCCTAAGATAAAACTAGACTGGTCTGCATATCACTAAGATGAAAGAGCCTACTACGCATTACATATTACTATTATCCCTAGCACAAAAGGGCTATTTTGAATCTGAATATGTAAGAGCACTCAGGATCCTGTCTAGATCAGCAGCGCAGGCACTGAGGAGACACTGGACTTGATTCTAAACTTTAAGCCACAGAGGGAATCCAACACACTATGTAGCCTTTGGATTGACTATCTCTTAACACTGCTTAGAAAGAAGACATGCCCTTACCATTGGCAGAGCTGAAGCCAACTAGGGATTATCAGTACAAAACAAATTCCAGGAGAGATGGAATTAAAGGATTCTGGAGCCAGGAAGGCTAGGGAGAGTATCTGAACCTAGTAATCTGTGAACTACAGTGCCCATTATGCCATGCAGTCTCTCAGTAAGACTGTGACAACAGCAGTCCATCTGATGTGGAACCTGGTCCTTATTACTCTTCTGCATCCTACCATCCCACCAAGGCCACAAAGGGAGTATCTGAATATTCCCTGGGTTTAAAACTACCTACACTGCCCTTTGGGTTACAGAACAGGATTCAGTGGTAAGTGTTCGAAAACAACAAAGAAAATGCTAATTGCTTTTATTCATAGAATCTGTGTCTTTCCCCCACCTCCTAAGGAGCTTGTGTCTCAAAAGGTCAGAATGGCTGGGTTCAGAAATAAGCTGCTTCCCACTCTGTTCAGAATCTATAGAGTGCAAATTTTTATATATTACCACAAATTTTCCAAAGAAAATTGCTTCCTCTATCTTCCACCTACATCCTCCAAAATGCCAAATTAAAGAAATGTCTTACAATTGATTATCTAGAATATTTGTCCTTTTTTTGGTAGTAGATTCATGTAACATATGAAGTTAGTTGACATAGCTTCTAGAAAGTCTAATTGGTAGCAGAATTGGACAACAGATGGTTACTAAGAAACCAGACCCAGAAAGGTGACTTACTCTGCATGTATATGCTGACAAGAAAGTACTATTTTGGGGATATCCTGAAAATCCTTGACCTAAAGCAAAGCCCAACAGAAAGTTCAGAGTAGGAACAATTATCATAGCCTGATTCTCCATCTAAAGCAAAATATAACACTTTAAACTATCTTTAGATAATAGGCCAAAATATAAAATAAAACAAATATAATGACAGCTTACAAAGCAGCTTTTATCCTTTGAAAAAAGAAGCTGGCAACACATAATCACCTTTTTTTAGATGTTTCCTAAAATTCTTTCCAAGTAGTTTAATTTTTAAGAAGAGGTGGATTTCGGATCTATGTCTTGTTTCTGCAGAAAGAGCTACTAGCAGACTCATTTAAAAATAATTATAGGGATTATCTGAGAACAATAACTAATTAATACTATATATAATGGGCAATTTCTAGGTAAGATGGTCCACGGAGCAAGTAGATTTGAAAACTATTAATCATCATCTACTAAGTTACATAAGAGATTCCAGTTCAAATTGACAGACAAACATAAACCAGATTCAAAGTGCTGTATTAAAAAACAACAAAAATACAGTTTGCATTTTAGGGTAATTAAAATAAGTGGAGACCTGACTCTACACAACACAGGATTATTATTTTGTAATTGTTCTGTTATTCTTTTTATTCTAAGAATGTAGTTTTACTTAGAGAATGACAGCTGGTCAAATTTATACTTAAGACATTTATCCATACTTAACCAGAGAGGCTGTAGAAGCGACTACACCAATCAGCTGTTCTACATCCTTTAACGTTAAATATGATCACTTTCTCAATATTACTCAAGTCACATCTCATTTATCTTTCTCCTTAGAACTGCATAGGCTTAAATAGTTTAAAAAACTGCTATAAACTACAGAGTTCGTTAAGAGAGGAGGTACTCTGGTTAATGCTCAAAATGGTGTGGCCAGAGGTAAAGCAAGTATTATTAAGTATGAATGCAACCCTTAGCAACACAAATTGAACCCCTTTTTTCCCAATAAAAAAGCTAGTTCAATACGGTCTCATTCTATAAAGATATATCACTTCCAAGTCACAGTGAAAGAAACGTGAATAATTTACCAAATTTTTCTACTATGTGCCTTGGAGATACTAAAAACTGGTATTGGACACAACAAAATGACAATTGCAGAATGTAATATTGTAGTGACAGTACTGAGATTGATTGCTACAAACTCTTTGAGTATTAAATGATTACATCTTAATTATATAGAACATTGGTCCAATAACAAAATAGAGAACAGCAGCTGGGAATTTATCTCATTCAATGTTGAAACAAACTTATACATTCTTTGCATCATTTTCTGCAGATAAGTCCCATTTTTATATTGAAATTTGATGACAAATTCAGGTATTTTTCCAAGCTACTGCATGAATAGGATGCTGAAGGCCATCACTATACAACATACTGCAACATAAGGACTCTTCCGTTCACCTGTTGGAAACAAGAGAAAAATTCAAACCGATTGAGTAGCTAGCAGATATGATTCGGTTATTACTTACTATTGGAGAAGAGTAGGTAAGAATCACAATCAAGTTCTTGTTATGTAGTCCATATATTTTGAGGGTGGGGTGGGGAAAACAAGAACTAGATGTAATATAAAAGCAAGTATAGACCAGCTGGTATGACTCAGTGATTGAGCAGCAACCTATGAACCAGGAGGTCACCAGTTCAATTCCTAGTCAGGGCACTTGCCCGAGGGTGCAGCTCGATCCCTGGTGGGGGTCATGCAGGAAGCAGCCAATTGATGTTTCTCTATCTTGCTCTCCCTCCTCCCCACCTCTTTAAAATCAATAAAAACATTAGAAAATAGTACAATATAGAATGCACTAAACTTTATCAATTTATTTCTAAGAGCATCTCCTTTTCACTTGTTTAGAAAATCCTCAATTGCACCATTTCTGTGCCACTGAGTAAACCCAGATATTAAAAAAACACAACACAGAATGTATTATAGGATAGAGATCCAAGAGAAATTATTCATTCTCAATTAAGGCCAAATAAATATTGCTTAATTTTTTCTGCATTAAAAAAAAATTCAACATACTAATTTTAGCTATATTTTTTCCTCATTGGTAGCAACTAGTGACACTTTTAAAAGGAAAAAGAAGCATTTTTGGAGGAAAATGAACAGAGGGTGAACAATAAAAATACATGTTAAGAATGGGCATAAAATAAGATGCTTCATAAAAAAAACCTATTTGAAATAACAATTTCTGAGATGAATTTCATCTTAAAACTTTTATATATTTTTTATAGTTATGATTACTCTGGGTCAAAACTTTAGAACTTAAAACAACCACTTCAGTATGAGTTGATTTTTACATGTGTTTAAGGACTGTTTATACTAGGGTGAATTTCCTTTGCATGAAATAAACCTGGAGTTGGCTTGTGAAATGGTGTTGCGAACAGAGATTTGTGATCGTGAGTTAACTCAAATTCATCTTATTCTTTCCTGTTTCTTTAACAATTGCAAGGCTGTACAATTTCACAAAGTACCAGGCATTTATGTGCTGCCTTGAGGACACATAAGAAAGAGTGATGTGCTACTTCTAGAACTGATCCTGGATTTGTACCCGGACCCTCTAGTAGATATGGTTTATTCATCGCTCATTTGTGTTTTTCTATGTTTAAAACCACACTTTTCTAGCAACTAGGATCCTTATTTCATTTAGCAAGGTCAGTTAACTACCTCAGAAAAACATCAAATTTGACCATACTTATCTAAGATCCTCAATTGAGCTCACATAGTCTTATTGTTAGTGAGTGTACATTTTGTGTCTGTTCAATGACAATATTCATAAAAAAGATATTACACACACACAAATAAAATAAACATTTGGAGTTTTTCTGAAAGTGTTTTTCTATCCATAGACATTTAATGGACTTCTTGCAGCTAAAGGAAAATATAGGAAGTGAGAGAACAGTGTTTTCACTATACCACTACCTCAACTAGGAAAAAAAAATCTTTTAAAACTAAAAATCTCCTTGGTTATAATTTTTAAGCAATACTGATTTCTTTGGTGGTAAAAAACAAACAAACAAACAAACAAACACCTTGTTATTAAACAAGATTAAAAACCACAAAACTCATTCCAACATAAATTTCAGGCAGATTCCATAAGTAAGCCTGTTACCCTTCTTGAGGCTAGAAACTCTCATTGTCCAAAAGTCTTATTAAACACCCAAAAGAGAAATTGATATTGTCCTAAATTTTCCATCTGCTGGAAATTAATTTTTGAGGAAGTTCTCTTCCTCATTCTCCAACTTAGGATGCTATAATTTACATATGGGTTTCATTTTCCTGTTTTTAATTTTCTTAAAAGAGATTGCCATGTGGTAGAGTTAAACATCTTTGGTTGAACTTGGGTAAGAATGTTACTTCTTGTCTGGTCTTGGTTCTGTATACATGAATGTGAAACAGTTGCTGTAATGTGATGTGTAACATAAGATAATTTGGCTGGGTCTTTTCCCATTAAAATTGCATCCTTTCCTTGTGGACATATTCTGTGTCAAGATAAGAGGAGCATGTGTTTGAGAAAGCAGCATATCAGCATCAACATTTTTTAAGTTTCTTTGCCAAAATAGAAAGCTAATGCATTTATAGAATTGGCAAGAAGTAGTACTTTAACTGAACTCTTTAACCTATGAGAGCCACGTAATCGAGAGGAAAATAAAAATAAATGAGCAAGCAAAAAAGAAAAGGCAGTTTATAATTAGATATAAAAATAGATAAGACTACAGGAAAGCATTAAGCTACAAACTGAATATAAATGTTTAGCTATATTTTCAAGTAATAATTGTGAGCAAAGGAGTTACCTGGGTTGACTAATGAATGAAGCTGTACTTTTATATTTTATTACATAAAATGAATTTCAAATACCTTAATATTTTATTTCTGAACTAGAAACTTAATGAAAATACTGAATTAAAAGCTCAGCTTCCTAACTCCATACTTTATTTTTACCAATGAATATTTAGAATTACTTTAATACAGTGACTTTCTCTCTATTTCCTCAAACTGTCTTGCTCCTCCATTATGCTCTCTCTTTGAAGTTTACTTGAAATACTCTTACCACTCTGTTCCTTGGCAATATTATTTCTTCTTCTGGGTGATTTGGCTCCGAAGCAAACAGTTCGGTTTATATATATTTACATTTACCATCAGCTATCAGCATTAGCCATTGATGATGCTATTGTGTTTCTTTATCTCTCTTTTTTGATTATTTTGAAGTGCTTAAGATTTCTTCTACTATTTCAGGGTTTGCAGCTGTTGAGCATGACTGAATGCCAGATAAGTCTGTACCACAAAGCTCTGTAAATCTAGGTTGGGTATTCTTGACTTCAGTACTTTAGACATTTTGGGCTAGTTCTGTTGACAGGAGCTGTCCTAAGCATCATATACATTATACAGAACAACATGTTCTCTACTATAGGCATTTGTGCATAAAAGTATAAATAATTGTCTAAATTCTTCTCAAAACCAGGAATGCACAGCATTTATACCTGAATTTTAAGAGACTTTTCTCATATTCACAAGGTATCCACCACGTCTAGCTTTAAAAAACGTAAAGGGAGAAAAAACATAAGGAAAAGAATTCAGAGAACTCTACAAACTTTTACAAAATGGCAGAAAATTAGGAAGCCTGCACTGTAAAACTGACATTTGATTTGTGTGAATAGGATATAAGTAAAGAATTTACTGCTGAAGAAAGGAAGATTATACAGAGACACTTACCAATTCTGGCACACTTCCAAAATATACCCAACAGTCTGCATAGAAGAAAAAAGAAAAAAGTAGTTACTGATTACAGGGAAAGAGAAATCATTTTCTCAGTATTATAGGGAGAATTCATTATACTAGTATTTTAACTTCTGATGCTTTGCTTCCAAACTGAAATTTGTTTGATATTAAGTCACTTATGTAGGAAAGTAAAATATAATAACTTCCACTATTAATGTATATAAACTTACTAACTGGAATACATGTGGTGTCATAGGTTAAACCTATAGTACATTAATGCAAAAGTGGCAAAAATTTGCAGAAGGGCTTATTATTTGGTCTTTTAAAATGCAGTTCTGTATTTAAATAATTTACAACCATGAACTCCAGAGACAGTATCTCTAAAACTATAACATTCAACAAATTTGAATACAAAAATATGTGCCTATTTTTTCAATGTAAGTAGAAAATCCCACATTAGGAACACAGTGTATGAGTTAATTAAATATGGCATTTAAAACACTTTCTGAAAAATAAAGAGAATGAAAATGAAGATGTCCATTTCAATTCTACAAATGAATATATTATGATTAAATACATATTATATGTATGTATTTATCACTTATTTGACATATTGTCAAATTTGACCAATGCAAGAAAAAAATACAAAGACATTCAATGAATAGAGATATCAGAAAAAATAAAAACACTGCAGATAACTATTTTGTTGGTCTGATAGAATAATTAATGGTGCTGTGCATAGTTACAAGTTAAGATAAATTAAAATTACTTATTGTAGTAAGTTAGAATCAGTGTAACAAAATCATGATATTTAAGTTCCAAGGGAATTTATATTACACTCTTTTTGCCCGAAGAGATGTCTGGCTAATGAATCATTCATGATATTAGAATGATTAAGACTGAAAGAAAATACTGGTTCAATTAAGTTCTAAATAGGTTCTTCCTCCTCTGAAGTATAATAGCTTCCTGACCTCAAAGCAAAGTCTCTTACTTCAGCTTAAACGGAATGGGTAAAAATAGAAGTTATTTTGAAGGATGGACATTCTGACAGGTGAAACAATTTTACTATAAGAATAAAAGGACAAAAACTATATAGACTCTTGAATGAAAGTAATGACGGATAATAAAAGGACCAGATTGTGCCTAAATTTAATCCTACTTAACTGCTTGCTTAATTGTGATTAAGTTGAGCCATTTATCTCTTTAATAGCATTCAGCACTCAAAAGAGTTGTTAAAAGGATTAAGTTTTTACACAGCAAGTCTTTAGAACAGTGGCCATGTGTTGTGTTCAGTAATACAGAGGCTGCTAAAGGCACATGTGACAATAACTCCAGGTATCACTCAAAACCAGGTTGTATTTCATAAAAAATAGAAGACAATTGGTTAGTGATGTGTAATGCCATAGTTCCTTGATTCTAAAAACCTATTGATTATAACATACACTACTGATTTAAAGTTACTCTGCTTGTGGGACTCAGGCAGCATACCTGGAGCTCCTCCATGGGAAGCTCAAAGTCCCACAGAACATAGTCTGAAACCATCTGATCACAGTCAAGGTCTTTTCAGATATAATATTCTATTAAGTATCATCAGAAATTTGTACAGCACAGTTGACATATTAAAGCTATTCATATTTCCTTCTTAGACATATTTCTGTATTATTCAAAATGCTATTCATTAAAACACAGGAATTTTAATAGATGGTAAAAACCTATACAATTATGCTGCTTAGTATCCATGGCTATGAGCCCATAAGTAAGTCTTCTGATAAAGCTATCAGGTCTATGAAAATAGGAAGCAAGACAAAATAGCAAACTTTCCTGCTGTTTTTTGTTATCTGAAGCAGCAAAAAATTAAGTTGTTATTTCCAGCCGTGAAGTCATCAAGAACTAGCTTTATGCAATCAACCTAGATTCTCAACTTAAGCATGGAATACTCACTGTAAAGATATATATTGTAACTAAAAAAGACTAGTGTATAATTTTTTTCTGCAGAAAATATTTCTTATAAACGAATCAAAATAAAATGGGACTTAATATAAGAAGCTTTCAAAGGATTGACTATCAATATTTCTTAGGTCTTTTATGTAGGAGAAATATACTACTACTCAACCTCTCCTGTAAGGTTGGTAGCCCTGAGAACTCCTTTCATGTAGCATGTTATGGAGGTATTCCTGCTCCCAAAGGAATGAGGAGCAGACATATTTCCACATGCAATCTACTTTCTTCATAATAGCATCAACATTCTATTCTACTACTACGTGATTATTCTTTAATGAAACGAACACTTAGAAGCATCTTATTAGGTAGAAATTAGCATTATATTAAAAATTCAAATAGATCAATGAGAATGTTTACTGGTTTCTACCATATGCTTTAACTATAGTTAATAGCTGGGGTTACAGAGGAAGGAAAAAAGGAAATAAAATTGGTTGGGTAAAAAGACTTCACACACAAGTAAGAAACAAATACAATTAAGCAATTTCAACAAATGGACAAAGTATTAAATTGAGTGCCGAAGATGAAGTTCAATAGTTTAGAAAAAAAAAAAAATGACAAAAAGACAAAGAAGTAGGGCATGGTCATAAAAACTGATGGACAAATAGCATATGTTTTCAACTTTAGTAAATTAAATAAAATCCCTCAGGCCAACAGAGCCAGATTATCAGTTTATTAGAACAGGACTAATGATTTTCAATATTCAAAACTGGTTCGAGCTCTAGTTTTTTCTTTACAAATGTTCAAACAACCCTAGTAAATAAAAAAGGTTAAAAAAAACAAAACAAATAATTTAGAGAATGGGATGTATGGATTGATGTTAATTATGACTCCAAAGATAGAATAGATTGAAGAAGAGAGAGCAGAAATTATTACTCTCATGGTTGAATATCTACCACCTGGCCTTTGTAGAAGTTTTTATTAGTGGAAGAGAAGTGTTTGACCTTGCAAGATTCTAATTTGGCCTTTGTATTATCTTCCTGTTAAAAACAAAAAAAGGTGCTGGAGATAATTATTCCTATGTGAAATCTTCTATTATTTCATCCTTTTATTTCTTAAAATCATTAAGAGAGGTACAGGCTCTTATCATGAAAGGATTAAGACAATTCATAGAAAATTAACAATTATATAAGGCAAAGAAAAACAGTTTTTACCACATGTTCTCTTTTTTAAATATACTCTCCTTTTGGTTAAATTCAATATGTACTTCTGTATTACAAATATGACACTTTATAAAACTTAATTTTGTGTGTTATGATAGTAAGCTCAAATTTTTTTTTTTTTTTTTTTAGGGGGGTAGGGATAATGAATCTAATAATTAACAGGGATGTGACATGCCCAAGAATGTTTAAGTAAATAAATTTCTTCAAAGATGTTTATTTTATGATATAGACAGGGAGTTCATAGGATTAGAGCAGTCTTAGACTGGAGAATGTCTATATTATTTTTTTATAGAAAGTATGCTTACAAACTTTAATACTTTCAAAATGTGATAACCAATCTTACTAATTATTCTATATTCTTAATCCCAGAAAAAAATCTGTTGCATCTTTTTAAATATATTTTTCAATCTAATAAATTTCAGGTCACTTCTGATATTTATCTTTTTATTTAAAAAGATTCTGTGAATATAGTTTGATTTTTAAAACAGAGGAAGAAAATAAGGTAAAAAGTTATTACAAAACTAAGCTATATATAGAAATTAAATTGTTTAATGATGTTTGGAGTAATTTACATTCAATATCTATAAGAATTAATTTGGGTGATTAGACATCATTAGTAACATACCCAGTTTTATTTCTGTCCAGGAGGCTGGGTGCCAAGGATCGGATATAAGCACAGGTACATATAAGCAGCAAGATTACAGTCAACAGACTCTGAAAATTGAAAATGGCAGACTAAAAAGAGAAAAAGAAAAATTAATATCAAAAGAAAACATAGGCCAAATATGCCTGACAAGTCTATATAAAGAATATTTTTTCTTCAAAAAGCCAAACAGAAAAACATATCTAAGAACACTTAAAACCAAAATAATAAGGTATTCCGAGAGTGTACTTTCTTCTTTTCTCTTTGAGCTAAGGAATGGAGAAGATGTAACAAAAATTCTAAATTCAATGACTTTAAAAACACTACAAAAAAAGGTCACAATCCAAAATAGCTCATCAAAGCTGAATCAATATGTAATTAATACAGATGTTCTGAAGGCCCAGATTACATGTGGGACAAAGAGTCTCCAAGCTCTATTGAATCACTAGCCTCTAAGTCTCTGTTTCACATAAACTGAGTGGAAAATGGGGAGATGGACTAAATGTTGGCTAAAGTTTCTATCAATTCTGAAATTCTTTTAGGATAGGATGCTTTAAATTTAAGCAATTGCGCACCGTTATTTGCTTTTAGTGAAAGAAAAGCACTTGATCATTCACTACTGAATATTTAGAAGTAATTCAATAAATAACTTAAAAATCTTAAGTTTCTAGTCATAGTAAAGGAAAGGTAGACTTACTCTATTCAAAATTCAGCTTAAGCATTATCTTTTCCAGGAAATCTTGAACTCATCTGTTTCACCTCTCCTATTTCATATAGAATTCTCCTTCCTGTTCCCATAGCAAAGTGACATACATTTATTATAATACTGGATGGGCCCGGAAGAGTGGACATTGTCTTATCAGACTCAATCTTTAGCACCTAACACATATTAGGAACCAAATAAGGGATGGCTGAATAAATAAAAAGTGCACAAATGCTACTGTATAATAATAAGCCCAAAAGAATCTAGTGAAAAACAATTACAGACCGTAAAGGAATTACATATAAGGTAGCTGGCTACATAAATTAAAATATTTAAATCAACAGCCTTCATGATTATATCATCAACCAGTTAAAAGATATTAAAAAAAATTTCATGCACAATAGCAAAATACCTAGGAATAAGCTTAATATGAAATGTGCAAGATTGGCATCAAAGAAGAAAACTGACAAAAACCACGAAACATAACGAAGAACACAGAAGTAGAACCAAGTGCTAAGCCTGGTTCTTATACTAGAAGGCAACATTGTAAATCCAATTGGATTTTAATTTTGCATTGGTGAAGACAAGTGATATACATTTTATAACCTAAACAGAGTTAATGGATAAACTCAGGATCAATTCTAAATAGAAAACAGTAAGTATCTCACAATGCTTACCTTCCAAGGGTTATATTTTGAACACACACACACACACACACACACACACACACACACACACATATATATATATATATATATATATATATATATATATATATATATATATATATATATATAATATGTATCAGTATGTTGATAAATATACTACTTGGTAATAACCTCATGAAATATATTTCCTTCCAGCCAAAATAACTAAACATATATTTAGTATCTACTCTGGGGTATAAGGCTAGATATGGGATGAAAAAGTACATAGCATGATTCCTTTCCTCCAGGACTCTACAACAATTGATATTCACTGGGTGCTTATTTAGATTATCTTATTTATCCCCATATATGTTATTAATACCCTTATTTTATACATTTTAGCTGAGGTATGCAGCAGTTATAATAGTTAGGACATATGTTTTCAAAACTAAGTAGCAATTCGCTGTAGCATATGTGACTACTGAGCCATGCTGACAAAAAAAGTGCTGTTTTCATAAAGGAAAGTCAGGAAAAGCCTCAAGGAGAAAGCAGGAACCGAATCAAGCCTTGAAACAGCATAATCAGATGGGCAAAGAACAGAGAGCAGGCTCCAGAAGAGACCAAAGCATGTAAAGCATTCCATAGAATCAGAAATTTGCATGTTCAGGGAAAAATGTGCAGATTTATTGTATTAAGCTAAGGATTTATGTAGTAAAGTGGCTGGAAAATAAATTTAGCAAAGGAGCTTTATCATTTTCCTTAATGGAGCACCTAAATTCATGATTTTGCAATGTATATTTTTCCCTTTCCTGAATGTCTTGTTAAAGAAACAAGCTTAAGTGATATGCTGTCTGGGATTGGTTTCTAAGTAATCCAGTGTGTGTGTGGTGGAAGGTGTTGGGTTGATGAAAAGCTGAGTATATGAGGCTTCATTGGGCTCTTCTTTCTACCTTTGTATGTCTGAATTTTTCATAATAAAAGATTTTGAGGCACTTAGAAACATGGCTATTATTAAAGAAGTGGGGTGTGTCATATACATTTGTATGTTAAACCATTTACAAATGAAAATCATTTACAAGTATGCAATATATAATATATGCAACTTTCTTCCTGGGGTTTATAAAACCTCAAATGTAAACAAATAATCTTAGTGGTAAAATCTTTGAGATGTACTCAGACTGGTTTAAAGAGTGTTTCAACTTCTAGACATCAATGTACCATTGCTTAGCCTACCTAAGCAGTCCTCTTAATGCTTAGCATCTGTTGGCCACTGATATAAAATTTTATTCTCAGGGTTAAAGGAAACAGATGTTCCTGTTCTGTAGAAAATTAATTGGGATTTTAAAAAGGTAAGCGTTAGTAAAGAAAAGGGAAGAAGCAAAGAAAAAATAAAGCATATCTGATCACAAAATAAAGGGTAAGATGATAAGGTGGTAAAGGAAGGAAAATTCATTTACTGTGTTTAATTTTTTTCAGATCTTTTAAATCATGAAATCTTTTTCAAGGTATTCTGCATTTTCGACATTTCCATCTAGTTTTGCCTGCCTAAAACTGGTCTCAACTCAAGAGGTACCTCCTCTGGGAAATCTCTCCTGTTCCCACTCTCCACACCAAGCAGGCAGGATCTTTGACATGTGTTACACACATAGATGCCTATGACAGTGCCCATCATACTGTACTGTGATTGTATCCTTTATTTTATTGGGGTTCTTATCAACCCCACTGACTATTAAGAAAAATAGTGCATAGTAGTCACTGAAAAATGCTGAATGAACAGGAACTTGTAAACAATTACAAATAATATCATTTTAACAAATGCAAGAGCTTTTGTTAGGTACATTTTGTAATGTACGTTATTACAAAAAAGTGTAGATCAGACTGCTGAATATTGTTTACTTAAGAGAAACCTCCACATATTCCTTTGCATTTATATTTATTTGTCACTGATACTTGGAAAATCCAGAAGGAAGAAGCAAATATCCTTATGCTTATGTTAATGGCAAAGGCTGTAGGGTAAAAAATAAAGGCCTGAGGTAATTTCCTTTCAACATTTAAATCTTTTTATATCACAAACTGGAATTCAGAGAAAGTTCTATCAGGCATCCAGTCTTAAGGTGCTTGCATATGGAACAATGTGTCTTCTTCTAATTCACCTAAGATGTCTGGATAATTAAGTGGGCAAGCTGGCTGGCAGAAAATTCTAGAACCTCAAAGAATTCTCCCATCTCAGGTTTACCTAGTTTTCCATGAGGACACCTTGTGATAATGGCAGGGGGTTATACAATGGCATGCTATCCAGCTTAATAAATAATAGCTACATAAATTAAACACTAAATAATGCGCATTGGAACTAAGGAGTCATAAACTTGTTTCTTCTGGAGGCTCTAGGAAAGAGTCTATTTTCTTGCCTTTTCTAGCTTCTGGAGGCTGCATGTATTCCTTGGCTAGTGATCCGGACTTCTACAGTCACTCCAGCCTCCTTCTTACAAGTATCCTTGTGATTAAATCATCCCTTCCCTGTCCCCATACATAATTCAAGATACTCATCCCATTCCAAAATTCTTAATCAAATATGCAAAGTACCTTTTGCCAAATAAGATAACATATTTGCAAGGTTTTCTTTTTTGTGTGTGTGGGGTTATTCTGTTGACCACACCTACAAATACTTCCTTTTCATAAGGGATCCAATAACATTTCCTAGACTCAGGGTTGCTTGGACATCTGGATCACAAACAACCTCAAATACAGTCAAAATGGCAACTCTTGACTTTGACCATTACTCTCATAGTTGTGCTTCTAAAGAGCTGGTAATGGGAGATCTCCAACTATTTTTCTCCAAAGGCCCCTTTTATTATCCCTCCACACCACAGACCTATCACACTATGCATAGCTAATCAGAGCTTCTAAAATACTTCAAATAATTAATGTTATTGTACTAAATTAACTTATCTAGACCGGAAGGAAATCAACTTGATGAGTCAGTTACTTTGTATAATCTCTTTAAAGTAAATCACTTTTCAGTCCATTTGAAATAATGAAAATAATATAGATTTTCATTTGGCCACCACTACAGTGCATGAAATCATTTATCAATGAATAGTCAATGCAAAGCTTAATGTCCAAACACAAAATTATTTGATGTTGATACATCTTTTTAAAATTCGCTATGCTGAAATCAGTTTGAAGAGTTAGTAATACCTATTTCAGATTGTCATTTTATCTATGCAGATATAATTTCTCATTTTTGGAATCATTCTTGAATGTTAATGCTGACAGGTCATGAGACAACACATGTCTGCACTTACACACAAGTTGTCTACTGAAAGAGCAGCAAGATGTTAAAACTAGTCACTGAGTTTGAATATAAGGACAAGAATTCAAGAGAAAGTTTTGTTTTTAGATGTAAAAATAAAAATACTTCTAAGTAAAAGAAATCATTCAAAACATTAGGAACAGAGGAAAAAAGAGAAGATCCTAGGAATTTAAAGGTTCACATAAAGAAACAATGAGAAAAGTGGCAGAAATATGTATATTAATATGCTAAACAGTGATTTCCCAGAGAGTGCTCAATGACTGGTTGCTAATCATAAGACTTTAACTAAGCCTATAGTATTTCCATTAGTCCTGGATCACTTAAGCTACAAGTAGCTTATTTCTTTATTTTTAAGATTATTAAAATAAATTGTTTAATCAATTTGTTAATTAAGGGCCTTCTTTATGCTTAACACTGTCTGGGAGCTTTAAATGTTGACTGTTTCCTATGTAAAAAATACATTTTTATTAATCTATTTAATTCTGCCAGTTTAACTAAAATTCACTTTAATCAAGAAAGGAACACCAAAGATTTAAATAAATAAATAAATAAACTCCAAATAGTAGCAATTTTACTTACTTTAATAACTACTGCTTTTACACAAAACTAAAGTCATTTATCCCTCTCTGGGGGGGTCGAAAGAAACCCACAGGTGACATTCCTGACCTAATTGTGTTACAAAATTATACAGCACTGGAAAAGTGGGTCAGCATTTTATCTTTTACAAATCTAGGTCAGGTCAGCATTTCCAACTAGTTTGTACTTGTAAATTCATATGTACCACTATTATCTCTGAAAACAGAAAACATGGAAATATGGGGATAAATGTAAGCCTGTATGTGAATGTGCAAACACATACACAGATACTCCATTTACCCCAAATAACTGACTACAGGGGACTGAGAGGATTTTCACTAATACATAGGAATATTGAACATTTTCTTTTAGCATTATTAGAACCTTAAGGTCAAGCTTTGTTGCTTACTGTAAGGTAGCACTGATATCGTACCAAATATACAAGCTATTATAATTTAATTTAAAACCCAGAAACCAGGATTGCTTCATGCTTCAATGCTAAGAATACACCAGCTTCTCTGAGTACCTGTGGCTTAGTAAACATTTGGATTATTTAATGAAATAATCCAAGTGCATAAATTTGTCCCTGGGTAAATCATAATTTCTAAGCATCAGTTTAATTCCCTTTGTAAAGTGAGGAAGCTGGACTAAATAGCCATTTTATCTCACCGAATCTGTTTCAAAAGTATAGACTTTCTCCACTTACACTTTCCACTTAAAATTAATAACTTTCATTGCTACGCATAAAGCTCCAGTCCTGATTAGAAGCACCCCAACTTTGTTCTCCACTGGCAACACCTTCAAAATTATTTTATTTATCCTTTCCTTTAATCTAACTACAATGATCAAGAGTTGAGGCATTCAATCATGTACTACCTGCACCACTGCTTTTTTTTTTTTTAAATGGTCTCCCAAATTTTAATCTTCCTCTATTTAAATATACCCTCTGTATTATTACCAGTTGGTTTTCTAAAATTCACACCATTCTTTTCCCTGCTCAAAGTCTTTACCAGGTAAACAATGAAGCATCATCAAAATATAAAGTCCTTAGTATGGCAAAAACCTCTTCAAGATCTGACCCCAATCTTTCTAGTCTCATTTTTCATTTCAGTACTTAACTTCTATTGCTGCCAGTTTCCAAGCAACTATCCAACTGATGCCCTTTGGCTCCATAACTGCCACTTCCTTTATCTGTTATCTAAAGGATAGAGAACACTGTCCAGCTCCCGATAATGATTCCTTAGGTAATCCCTAATCACTCTTGAACAGATAGGTCAGAGCATTACCTCTCCGCAGCAGTTCCTAGCCAGAATTGCTCCTTTTTGTGTTTCATGAGAACTTCTGTGCTAATATTCTCTCTGCTATATGATGAGGGAGAACATTTCACAACCCTTCTCTTATACTCAGTTTAAATATAAAATGTGGTTTGTGAGCATTAAATGAGAATATCTGTAAGTCACCTAATATATCAACAAATAAATAAAATGAAGATAAACTTCCTTAGGTTAACCAAGAAAAGGATGGGAAATGGTAATGATTTTGACCTTCTGGCTCAGTCTTTCCACTATAGATTGTCTTTCTATATATTAGCAGATACCACATGGAATTTACCTATTTAATAGACTTTTCCATTGGACCATGAAGTCCTTGAATACACTGAGCATGTGTCACATGACTTTGTTGTATTGAATTGAGAGTATTCCAAACTCTTATTCACTTGGTGTACTAACTTTAATTGACACTGTGATGTCAAGATTGAAAGGACTAGTCTCTACTTCAAGAACTCTGACAAAAGAGGGGAGAAATATAGGTAACACCTTTTTTGCTGTTTTTCTTGCGATAAGTGCTATGCTAGTGGGATATGAGGACTCTGGATGCCCAAATGGATGGATACCTAAAGCAGACAAAAATAGGACAGGGAAGGTCTTTTAGGAACAGATGAAACTTTAAGTGAATCATGAAAGATATAAAAATTTAGGGAGAACAAAGTATTCTAAAGTTCTAAAAAAAATATTAATTCTTAAGTGGTCTACTTATCAGACTGTTGAATGCTCTGATAGTTGTAAATTATTACTGTTGATAAACATTTTATGGCCTTGAAAGCATTTAAAAAAGAATTCATTAAAATATGGTAACTCACATTTAAATCATTATCACTGGGTAACTTCATAAATATGCCAAGTTTAGGTGCAAACTCAATGCTGATACCCAAAGCTCATAGGAACAGAGCAGAAATGAAAAATTAATCACAGGGCAGTTGTTTCTATTATCCACCTATGTCTGATTGGAATATTAGATATGAGTGACAAATAACTGAGACATTTCATCCTCTATTAGGTTGTTTCTATTAACAAATGAAGATTTCTGGCATCTGGACATTAAAATAAATTTGAGTTCCACTAGGGTGTGCAACCCCAAGCACATCAATCTCCCTGTCCCTGACTTCCATCATCTACTCAGAATTTGTTGTGGGCTTGAAATAAGACAATGCTTTTAAGCTTGAAATAAGACAATGCTTATAACCTTGTTGGAAGATATACAAGAATTAAGAGTAGCAGTCTCTCTACTCTTTTTAAATTGAAGGAACCAAATCTAAGTTAAATGACAGCTCACTAATGACACTTTCAGAACAAGTGTATCCACCTTATCATTTGGTAGGTGGAGAAAGAAGCTGGACAGTATCCTTGTCCAGGGAAGGAGTAAATTGGGACAAACTGCCATCTCCTCTAAGTGAGTGATGAACTTCTTCAGGGAACAGACTATGACTTATAATTAAAGTAGCTAGCATAAAACTGTAACAAGTAATAAGTTTTCTATTAAATGTCTAAAGGTTTTCTGCTTGGTAACTTCTGGGAATACAAGCTTTGCAACTACTGTAGAAGAGCATTTGGGTATTGTGGTTGCTTTTGATTTTGTAAAAGGCAGGCATCCTCCCCTTCCCCAACTAAATATGCTCATAACTGCAACAGTTGGCACATGGACTTCATAAATTCATCCTGAGGGCATGAAGTAGAGGTTTTTGGCCTTTTATCATAACACAGGTAAAATGCCTCACTCAGACAGAGCTTGGGTGCTCGTTCTATTACTACTGATATTGAATGTGTCCTCTGTCCATGTTGGCTTTACCTCCTTTTTGCAGGCTGCAGATGTAAGCATTTCTTTTGCAAATTTTGTGACTTATTTCAAACTTTTCTAAGAGGCCCAAACTATTAGATGAAATCTGCAGTAACACAAAATAACATACCACCTCAATAACGCGATGGAAGGCCTGAGGCCAGACAGCACTCCGAAGCTACCGGAAGAAAACCCATCTCTGCAGAAACCTCCTGACATGAAAACCTAGAGTGTGTACAGTAGCATCCTCAAGGTTTAGGAGAATCAAGTAGGAGGGACCTAAAGGCTACTAATCCAACAGATTAAAAATTAAGGTGTCAAGTTGGACAATCATTAAAAATGAAAAAATCTGGATCAGGAGCATAGGGAAAGGAGAGCAAACTAATATCTCAAAGACCTCCAAGAACCAAGCCAGCACATTTCTTCGGAACAGAGATCAAGAAAGTGGCCTCTGAGGAAGGGAGGGCTCCAGACCCCGGGGTTATCCTTGGGGGGTCAGCTCCCGATCTCCCGGGCTGGGCGTGCAGGGGCCACATGGCCTCCGGGCCCGTGCATCCTCCGAACCCCGGGAGAATCAGGTTGGTGACAAGGACGCCCGGCCCGCGCGCCCCGGGCCGCCTCCCAACCCTCGAGCCCAGGTTCGGGGTGACAGCCCCTTCAGAAAGCTCAGCCGCGACCCCACAGCCCCCGATCTTACCATAGTGAGGCCGGCGGAGCCCCAGCCACATCACCCTTCCGGGCCCAGGGCGGAAAGGGCGTGCTCGCCGCCTGCCGGTCTCCCTCCTCCCGGCGTTCTGATTGGGCCTCTCGGGGCCCCGCCTTCCTAGCCACACGACGCGGACAGCAGGATAGGCTCCTCTCCACCGGAAGGAGGCGGGAGTTGGTGACGTCACGCGCTCCTGCGGAAGTAGATGACCCTCTCATTGGCTGCGGGCCGTCAGCCTGTGGGAGCGGGCCTTTTGGAGGAGACCGGAAGTCGAGTCACTGAGAGGTAGGTTTCAGGAGCCAGGGCTGGCCTCCTGAAGTAACAGGAATTGGAGTCTTGCCCTTTTTTTTTGTTTGTTTCCCCTTCCCCCCCGCCTCTTTTCGTTTTTTAAATTTTCATTGTTTTTAGATCCCTCTTTTTTTCGTCTAGAATTCCGCAGTCCGTGGGCATTCCCCCACCAGGATCCCCTTGAATGTGTAAGCTACGGGGCCCTCCGATTGTGGACTCCGGGGCGCCTGGGTCCGCTGGCCGGATCCGCGGGGCGTGCCCCAGCTGGGCCCCCTTGTCAGCTTTTCCCTTTGGCTTACAAAGCGTCTTTGAAATGCTCTATAACCGTCTTGGATGCAGAGGAGCCTGGAATCGGGAGGGTTGTGTTGAGTAGGCTGTTGGATCATTTCTCTAACACTGGCCTCTTCCCTCTCCCAGCCTCCAGCTTTTTGTAAACAGTCAACAAGTTGCATCTGGGGCTGCAAAGTTGGGCCCATTGGGATCACGGGCAACTGTCTGTGGTCAGGGTTGGAGAGCACCTGCCTTTTCCTGAGTTCACTAGCCGGTTATGTACTCCTCTAGAGAAGTGATCCAACGGCAAGACGAGTCATATGCCAACTTTTTCTTCTAATTAGTATTATTTAGCGTTCTCTAATTTTAATAATCACAGTAGCTGAGGCTATATTCCCCCCCCCCCTTTTTTTTTTATTCTCATACCCTACATAAACAGGCGCGTTGACGTATTCAGTTTGCATAGTTTTTGGAATTCTTTGAGTTTATTCCAATATCCCCTTAAATGAATCAGAAAATTATGACAACTCGTTGGCTCCAGATGTATAGTTTATTTTCTTCCCCTCAGATAGCAGAGTTCTTTTCAGAATGCTATTTTTTACATTCTTTATTAACTCAGAAAATGGATAGAGGAAAAATGAGAAAGAAACTAATAAGGAGTTGATTTATTAGTTTTTGGCCAAACTATATGAGATCTTTAGCTATATTTGGCCAAACTATGAGATCCTTCTATATTTAAGGCAGCATGGTGATTAAAACATTAGATTTCTGTTATGTGATTATATTGTTTGCTACCACATTCAGTTTTTAAAAAGTGTAATTAACTTTCCAGTCTACTGAATTGTCAAGCGTTGGTCAAATGTACAATTTTATCAAGTTTTTATGGAGCTTTATTAATGGGAAAATGAGAGTGCAGCAGAGGAATAAAGATGGCCTGTTTCTTGGAGAAATTTAATGATCATGGGAAAGAGGAGAGTAAGAAATGTGTAAAAAGTGTACAGTAACCTCTCCTATAAGAAACCAAGCCATTTATACCTTACAAGTCTTGCCATTCAAGTTAAACAAACTTGGCTTAGTTACAGCAGTTATGTTGTGCATCTCATCAAGCTTGGCTTCTAAAGTAGTAAATGTGTTGAGATTTCATGACTTTTTGCTTTCATGTGAAGATTGTCTTGATCTACATGAACATTTAAGGGAAATACTTCTGTGTGAAGCTGTGCTTCAAGCCACCTGTGAAGAGCACTAGGAAGCTGAAGTTGTTCAAGATCACACTATATTTATGTATTACAATTAATTTTAGGCCATGGGCACTTATGTACTTCAGCTTCAAAAGAATAAAGAATAGTATTAGCCAGTTAAACTTTTTCATTGAGGAACACAAATGGCAATACATGAAGCTAAACATATGTTTTGTTTTGTTTTGTTTTATAAATGTAACATAGCAAACAAAATTAATAATTTTTTTATAATGTAATACAGCAAACAAAATTAATCTGACCTGTGGTGAGAGGTGGGAAGTTAGTAGTTGTGCTACATGGTCATTAAGCACATAAATCTATACTTTTTGTTTTTACTGCCAATGAACTATTTTAGGTATTATCTTACATTGCTGACTATTTCAAAAGTCTTTTTTCTGTCAACTCTGCTATGAATTCTCATTTCTTATTAAATCATCTTAGATCCTTTACTTACTAAAAATAAAATCTAACTCTGTCATTCCGTTGTTCAAAAACTGTTGTCATTCCTGCATCTAGAAGAATATTTTCAATTTTGGTTTCATTGGTTTCCTCGAATTTTATATAAAAATAGTGCATATTTATATTTTTATGTGGAGAGAATTCAGAGTCTTCTCCAGTGTTATCAGACTGTAAATGAGTTCATAAAGTAAATCATCTCTTCAAGACTTTGGCATTAATAAGCACACAGTAAGCATTGCTTATTGTGTCTAGCTTTCTCTTTCACTAAATTAAAAATTCCTTAAAGGGAGGGATAATGATGTAGAGCTGATTGACTTGCATGTTAGACATTCAAAAGGTTTTTAAAATAAATAGGAATTGCTTTTATAACACCAGACCACTTTCTCCAGCTTTTCTCTTTTTACTTTGTATCTAGTATTGAAGCTTTCCTTTTATATGACTTCCCATTTCTTTCATTCACTGATATTCACATATATTAAATGGTTTTATTTAACTTTGTAGCCACCATATTTTGAGGTTGAGGTTCTTCATGTTCTAGTATTTGTCTTTGTTCTTTCCCTTCTCTCTCTCTTTTTTTTATTCTCTTTTCCCATGGCTTGTAGATTAAGACCCATAAAAGTTTTGTTTGGCTTGCATGTTTTTTGTTGTTGTTGTTGTTACCTTAAGAAATGCTTCTCTTAACCTTTCTCCACTTCCAACCCTATTGATTTGCTCTTCTGAAAAATCCTTGGTTTTCTATACTCTAAATCCCAAACTTTTTTCTATTCTTTCTTGTATGGGGGAAGAAAAAATAATGTTCCCTTCTATACTTAAAGTTCTGGCTGGACTAATAAGTAAATATAAGATACATTAATAAGAGAAAATAACCAGGTTTATTACATATTACAGAAGTGTCATAAGAAAATGTGACAAAAGGACAAATTGGGTAGTTAAGGCTCATATGCTATTTTGAGCCCAGGAGAAGGTTAAGGAATAGAGGGTTTGGGACTATATATGGGAGGGAAGCAAACTTAGAAAAGCAGATATTTTGTAAATAAATGTTTCCTGGGTCATCTTTTAACAGTGCAGTGAGGACTTTGGTCAAAGGAGCCTTGGTAGGTTCCTCCTTATCATATTATAGTTCTTATCTATGTTAATAAAAGAAAAACATGCAAATTGACTGTACCTCCATAAGACCACAAGCCACGCCCACCAACCAATCTAGAATGAATATGCAAATCAACCCAACCAAGATGGTGGCTAATTTGCATATCCAGGCACAGAATGAAGACTGAAGACTGAAGACAGAGAAGAAGGAAGCCAAGCGCTGCAGAAGGGAGTGGGATGGCAGAGAAGGGAGGGAAGCAGGCTGGGCAGCGGAGACGGCCACAGGAAGCCCTATTCTTGCAGGAGTCTTCCTACAACAGGCCTCTAGTTAAATTATAATTGTCTATGATAATAGCTCTCTTTCTGAAGCAGGACCTTTGTTTAAATTCCCTTAAGCTGTTGGGGGAAGGTAAAAGATTTTTCCTGATTATTTAACTAGCTTTAAATAATCAATTTCCCAGAAAGCATATTTTGGGATTATTTCAAAATGGCAATTGCTCCCACACACCTACAAAATGCTTTTTTTTTTTTTTTTTTTTTTTTTTTTTTTTTTTTTTTTTTTTTTTAAGCATTACCAGTGATCTCTAGGTGTGATCATTTTCATTTGTTATCATTTGAACTGTAAGCAACTTTTGGCACAATTGATCATTCTTTTTTTGATGATATATTTTCTTCACTTGATTTCCTGGACTTTACACTCTTGGTTTTTCTTTTACTTATTGTTTGTTCCTTCTCAGTCTTCCTTCAGTTAGTCCTGGACTCTTATTATTGAGTGCAGTCTTTGATTCTCTTTTCCTCGGTCTACACTCTCTCTTGATAATATCAAGTCTTAATGACTTTAAATACCATCTGTATACTGAAGACTATCAAATTCATATTTCTTGTCCCCTCTCTTTCTGAACTCCAAACTCACATATCCAGCTTTCTACCTCTACATCTCCACTTGTTTTCTTCAAGATATTCAAACTTAAATGTCAGAAACTGAACTCTTTTACCCCCCTGCCCCATTCTTTCTCATTTCAGCTGATGGCAACTCTGTACAGCCAATTGCTAAAAGTTAAATATTTGGAGTCATTCTCTACTCTCTCTTATATTCCATCCAGTCCATCAGCAAATCCTATTGATTCTTTCTATAAAACATACCTAGAATTTTGACTGTTTCCTACTATTTCTACTGTTAGTATTCTGATCATCTTTTGCTTGGGTGTCTGTCATTAGCCACTATCATTTCTTGTTTGGGTTGCAGTAATTTTGTTCTATCTGGTCTCCCTGCATTCTTTAATCCTTGCTTCTCTACAGATTATTCTCATACAGTATGAGAATAGTGATACTATTCAATTTAAGTAAAAAATTGCATTAAAATGTAAGATTCTAAATGCAATATGTTATCCTAGATTGAGTCCTAGAGTAGACAAAAAAAATATTAGTGGGAAAAACTGGTAAAATCTGAGTAGTTTGGAGTCCACCTAATAGTAGTGCACCAATGTTGGTTTCTTTGTTTTGATAATTGCACCATGGTAATATAAGGTGTTAATTTTAGAGGAAACTGGATGAAGGGTATATGGGAATTCTGTATTTGCAACTTTTCAGTAAATTCAGAATTATTCTCTAATACAAAGTTTATTAAAAACAAATGTCACATTGCTTTTTTGC